TTACAATAAAAGTAGAGTTTTGCCTGAATAATATTGATTTTCACTCAGTGACCCATTTGCTTAATCCACCCAATATTTAAAATGCCAAACATGCATGCAAACCCTGCATCCACCAGTTTGCTTTAATTGACAGTGGCAAAACTTGTTTACATTTCACTCGGCTAACATGTTTATGCATGTCCACACAGCAGCAGTTGTTAGCATTCGTCAGCTGGCACCTATTGGCTGATTCCTCTGGGATTCTCTGGCTTACACCCAAGGCCGTGCTGCTGTCTGAATATGATGTATAGCTACGTTTTGCTTAAATGCTTCCCAGCAGGTTGGAAGTTAACGTGGATGGAGATGAGCATCACTGACAGCATGGGCCTTCTCTCTGCTCGCCAGTCAGACTTAACATATACGGCTGCTCTGCTTTCCCTCTGCACCTCCTGTGCATGCGAGCAGAAAGAGCGAGTCTGGAGGAGTCGTGATGCCCATCTCAATGAGAGGAGGGGGTGGACGGGTTGGAGTGGGACAAAAAGGGAGGTGGTGTGCAGAGCAGTGGAGGAGAGATGTTGCAAGTTGTAGCATACAGAGAAACCAAGAGGGACTGTTATCAAAAAATAAAGAGTGAGGAGGGAGAGAATGGGAAGGAGACAAGCAGTGAGCCTGAAGGAGTCGTGATGCTCATCTTAATGTGGCTGTGGCGAGCTAAAAAGCAGCCCAGTCGCCAGGAGAAATTGTTGACATCATTTCTAAAGTGACATAGTCCTGATTACATGTATGAGCTGACTATCAGGTGGAGGGGATGCTGCCAAGCTGCAGACCAGTGTCCAAGACCAACAGCAATGGTTTTATTTTATCAAGACATTGGCAGCATTTCCAGCTGTGATTGTGGCATCAAACCTGGGTATTTTTAAGCTGTAGCATGATCTTTTCCAAAGCAGAACCAAGTGTTTTGTGCCTAAACAGACAACCACAGCATTGTTGAAATGCAAGTTCTGATCTGCTGCAAGGTTTGCAGAGATGTACAATGCCAAAAAATTTAAGCGAAAACAGCATAGTGCAGCTTGCCATGTTACATATCTGTGAGGCATTTCAGGTGGAAAGAATTTCTTTGTAACATTGCTCAGCATTTCACAGGATTTGAGCTGCAGGTACTCTGCCCACAATTTGCCACTCAAAGTTTCTCCAAATTTTAGTTTGGCTAAAGAGTCACAGCTCAGCAACTGCTACAGCTTTCCATAGCCATTGTGTGGCAGCTTGCTGCAGGCTGTACTTTGCTGGGTGCATTTTCAGTGTATTCTGGCGACTGCCTTCTCAAACACCAATCTTTCCAAAACCCAAAGATTTACTCATACCACAGGACTGCAAAACTGGCATTTCTAGTTTAACATGTCTTTTGGATTGGTTCTCTCAGCCTCAACCACAATTAATTTTCAGCTTATAGTCTATTCTTGCCATATGTTAGAGTTAGACTTGTAGCATAATCTCACTTGTAATGCAATCTTGTGATTTCTCAGCACAAATCAGGACAAGGGGTTGCATTACATGCTTCGACTATACTGCCTCTGCACAAAAATCTACCTCAGCAGAAAAATGTATAAGTGAGTGACCTTGACAGAGCAAGTCAAACAAAACGCAGTTGTGAGCATGAGCTTTACACAAGCTTTTATTAAAAGTCATGGCCAGATCTGGCTGCCAGTGGACTGTCATCTCTTCAATTTGGTGTTGGGAGAGGATGGTTTCTGCTCAGTCAGGATCACCTCTCCACTTGAGACTAGAGCTCTCTGACTGGAAGAGACTTTCCTTGCTGCAGCAACAGCTCTTCCTGCAAGAGAAAGGGTTCATCTGTCACTTTTGATTTGGCAAATTCATAATCTGACAGAAGTGTATCAGTTGTGATTCGTCATCTCTTTAGTAAAGATGCCAAGCAGTCTCTAGTTCAAGATCCTCCAAGTGAGGATTTGCCTTCCATTTTTCACTGGGAAGCTTAATGATGCACTGATAGAACTTTGTCTTGACAAATTTAGGGTATCTACAGATAGCTGATCCAGTACTTAATTGATTTCTCCACCTCACAAATTTAAACTGGACTGTGAGGCCATCAACTTATTTGGCAGCCTGCTGTGGCTTAATAGGGCTCATCAGGAACTCTGCAATTCTTGACACTGTTAACTTTAGATTGTCAGGCATTTTATACACTGGTAAACCATTTGTTGCAGTCATTTTACACTTGAGCTACTCACGCTGTCGGTGGCATGGCTGGTCACAAGAGTTTGTGCTGCTGGGATAACACACTGCTGTAGCACAATGGATGAACACCTGAAAAAAGTAAGCAGATTGCATATTGTGTCAGCTACAGTTGGATTGTAAATTGTACCATCCAATGATGTTATTGCGCCAATCTGTACCGTGTCCTTCTGGGTAGAAAAGGTGTTTGGATCCACGAATGTGAACATTTTAACAATAAAGCGTTTGTAGTGTGTTGGGTATTGAAGCCCAGAGGAGCCATCCACAGGCACCACTGTGGTTACATAGCGGTCATCATCATAGGGACACCTGAAACCAACAAGAACTCAAGTTAACAGAATTCTTCACACAGCTGTTTTTAGATAGTTTACCTCTGCAATGAAATGCATATTCTTGTGTTTATCAATCTAGACATTTGATGCGAGTTGCAGTGTTGGAGATATCAGCCATAGAGTTTTGCCTTCGAGTATAATGGAACTAGATGACGCTTAGCGTGGTGCTCAAAGCACTAAAACATTAAACTCAACAGCAGTGTCTCTTTCCAGAAATCATGACCCTGTTAGTCAAGATAGTCCAGACCTTGGTGTGAGCATGCTGCCTTCTGTGTGACGATATGGTTGGTGGGTGTAGTTTGGTAGAAAATAGTTCTCATGAAACTGCTAACAGGGTCTGCAGATTATCTTGAGTAACCAGGGTCATGATTTCTGGACGATTAGTTTTTTTTTAAATTTGGCGATTTAATCACAAGTTGAGTGCCATCTAGTTCCATCATATTCTAGAGAAAGCAGACATCTACTGCTGATATTTCCAACACTCGCAACTCACACTGAAACAATCTACAATAACACTATGGGTAAGAGGAAAGATGCATTTTGACTTTAAAATCCTTTAGAATGTACCCATAAGCCAGAAGGTCCCACTGTGGCAGGCTGTCAGGATTGGGTGTAGATGTGGCCCAGCAGTGCTCCAGGTTAAGGACAAGGTTTGGGTCAGACCTCTCCAGGATGTTCACCTCAATATAGACTGGTTCCCTCAGCACTTTAGTGACTGGGTAGTCGGCCGCAGTGTAGAACGAGCTATACCCTGCCTCTTCTGTAATCAAAAGAGTTTTAGTGGATGCAGAAATTCAGCACCAGCTGGCACCCTTTTAAAAGTCTTGTGGTCACTCACCCTCGACACATCCCTTTGAGTGACACTGCCCGTTGCCTAGTTTAAGCTCCACTCTGAGGGGTCCTGCAGCAGCAACCGGCACAGGTGGAGGAACAGCATTCACCTCCATGACGAGAGCTTCCACAGCTGTGCCAGAATACCTTCACTGAAACAATAACCTGTTGGGAGAGAGCAGATGGCTTTACATCTCAGGAAACCTCAGCAGGCCACCAAAACCAATAATGAGATTGATTTTAACTCACTCAAAATGGCTGTCCCTGGTGATTGATCCTCTGGGTCCAATTCCCACTTCATACGAGGAAGACATGTGGTTCTCATACACCACGTAACCATTTTCCTCCTGCAGGAGGAGTGGAATCAAAAGAAAATGTTCAATTGTTATTTGAGGAAACACATGACACTGTTTGAATCTTCAAATGTGAGAAGTTTCCAGTTTCACAGGTTTACATCATCGCAAACTGAATCTTTGATATTTGAGTGCATAAAAAATTTAGGTGGAGACTTTACCACATTTAACTTCTCAAATATTAACTGAAGTAAAAACTGGACCAGTCACCTTGAGTGTAGTGCCACATGCAGTCACAGGGAACTGAAAGATTGCAAAAGCAGAGGTGACGCCCGCAGGAGTACAGGAGGGGTTGTTTGTTTCCATCAGGCTGACTGACTCCACATCAATGTGGGGCAACGTGGCATCTTTAGCCACCACCACCACAAACTGGCCATCTCTGGTGCACTGCACAGTCACTGGGTGAGGAGAGAATACATGGATTAATTCTCAGTTGCAGCAGCTGTGTTACTCACCATGAAGCATTTGTTTGAGAGGCACTAGAAACTGCCCTGAGAGCACAGGTACCTGCTTTCCCATAGTAGCACTGCCACCCATCAAAGCAGCAGTTAATGTTTTCACACTGCTCAGCGTTGATATCTGCAGTCCCACACTGGATCTTGTTGCTCTGCTCCACCTGGCATTTATCAAAGGGAGCTGCAGGTGGAGGGACATGCGGCTGTTGCTGAGGCTGCTGAAAAGAAGGAGAAGGTTGGTGTTTCTGCAGAGGCAGCGTCCAGTGATGCTGGGCAGTAACACCACAAGCCAAAACAACAACCACCAACACACCAAACAGACACTTGAAAAGCTCCATTATGGTATAAGCAACTGCACACTGGCTAGAATTGCAATAACAGTTCCTATGGCTCAGACGCAGGCTTTATACACGATTGATTATGTGTCGTTTGCTGAGAACTCCGCCTCTTATCGTTAGAAGTCAATTGTGTGGCAGCCCTGTGGAGTTAATCAGCTGGTAGCTGACAGGTGGAGCTTATTGTCTGCTCATCTGTCTGAAAAGAGGTCATTACACGACTGTTGAGTCAAAGTGGAGTGGATTTTTTTCTTCTAAAAAGGACTGGAGAAAAGCTGTGAGCTGCAGGCGGCGAATCTCCCGACACCTGGCCCTGTTTACTCTGAGTTTGAACCTCCGTGTGTTTACACAAGCTGACTATCTTTACTGTGACCCAACACTGTATTATGACATTTCTTTCACTGCCTCCCACGCACACCACCTGTATAAAAGCTGTCTTTTTCTGTCTTTTCATGCTCACAGATGTATGGGCGGTACACCCAGGAGCTGGGTGTGTATGCCAAGGAGGAAGCAGCCCGCCTACGGGATGGAGGAGTGCGGGATGGTGGAGCACTGCGGAGGAACACCAGTGTTCGCAGTCGTGCTGCAGATCTGCTGGAGTATGAGAAGGACCCCTGTGCAAAGTGCCACTGTAAGTGATGGCCATTCAACAGGCCCTAAATCTTCTTCAGTGTACTTGCAGGGACAAAGTGTGCAGGTAGTTTAATGCTCATGATGTGAAGGTCAGACCAAAGCAGTGTTCAGTGCTCATAAACAAAGATGATCAGGTGTGTGTGTGTGAGTGTGAGAGAGACTGTGGCACTCCAGCATGTGTGCAAGTTGAGTGAAAACACTGACTTCTTAAAGTACAGCAGCACGTAAGTACAAGTACACCTGACACGGGGGAGCAGGAGAGGATCTGAACACTATTAAATGTGACTGATCTGAGCAATGACCTCCAGCCAACAAGAGCTGTCTCAATGTCAGACAAAGACAGCCCCCTCTGCTGGCTGCCAGTGGCCCACCGTGCACACATCTGTGTGTGTGCGTGTGTGGAGAGATGTTAGCTTCCCTATGTGTGTGTGTATTTTTGTTTGTGTGAGCAGAACTCTGATCTGAACTGTCAGATTATTTTATGTCTAGTCTCCCCAGATGACTACAGATAAGGGAGTGGCAGTAGAAGAGAGCTCCACTTCAGACTGACGTACTCCACCATAAAGGAGTGATAGATCCTGACTCTGTGTGTCTGGGTGTGTGGTTGTGTGTGTGTGTGTGTGTGTGTGTGTGTGTGTGTGTGTGTGTGCATCCTCCAGTGTGTTTATTTTTATTTGTACTCTGTTTAACCTTCATTTATGCAGGTTTGTAAAATCAAGGGGATTTTTTTCTTTGTAAGTCAACAGAGCAGCAAAGCATTTCCTTGAGGGTCAGTTCACCCAAATTGAAACATTAGAAGTACTTTCTGCTGTAGAAGTGGTCCCAATAAAAACTATTCACATTGACGTCTGGGGATAATCCACAGTAACAAGGACACTGTTCTTGAAAGACACATTTTTTGAATGCTGTAAACCCCACAAATGAAATTCTCCTCATCTGCATTGTATTGATGTGGTGGATGAGACTTGATTTAATAAAACCCAAATCATCTGCCTGGCAAGATAGTACTAGAGGAGAGTGAGAAATGTAGTAGGTGTGAGTGTAAATTTGGTTAGAGCCGATATGTGTATTTAATTAACCTGTTAAACGATGAATAGAAAACTATTTGCCAGCTATTATTTGAAAATTGTCTGTTTGACAGTTTGTCATTTCTTCGAAAAAATGCCCAAAATTTATTGGCTCCAGTTTCTTGAGTGTGGTAGTTTCCTGTTTTCTAAGTTTTCTGTGATAGTGAACTAAATATTTGTCATTTTTAGACTCTTGCCTGAGGATCACTTTTAAATTATTCTTCAGTATTAAAGTAATCCACTGATAGTTGTCTGTAAACCCGTTGGTACATTACAAACTGGAACTGCTAATTGGTAATTCTGCATACTTTTAATGGACAGTTTGCCAAAATTTAAGTAGGAATAGGTTTAAGTTTTACCCCTCAATGAATCTATGGTGACACGTCTTGTTCCCTAAATCACTGGTTCCCAATTGGTCCAGCCACGAGGTCCAGATTTCTCCTTAGTCATTTGTTCAAGATCCACACTGTTCAATACATTCAGCGTCATTCTTGTGTTTGGCCATGCAGTCGAGCTAGTTCCCTGTCTCTGTCAAGTATCTGTCCATTATTCACTCACTCTACAGCAAGAAACGACACTTCAAAATAAAAACAATGTGCTGGAAATTCACTGTACTTAAAAATAAAGTGTGTTTTTTACAAACTTGACACGTTTGTGACCCACCAGTTGGGAACCACTGCCCCAAATTACAGGAAATGTAGTTAAAGCTGTCTCGGTTTTGTCTTGAGGATGGTGACAGTGTAAGACTTTAAAAACCTCTGTTACTGATCAAATGATTGATCAGTTAATTGTGAATGAAAGTAATCTGTAGTTGCACTCCCAGATTTGGTTGAATTTGAACTTTGATAGGTGTTGACCTGCCCTGTAAATTCCCCAGATCCCAATCTGATCGAGCATCTGTGGGACGTGCTATTACCCCATCTCACAACAGACCGCCAACATCCTGGTGCCAGACACCAAAGGACACCCCCAGAGGTCCTGCGTCCATGCCTCAACATGTCAGAGCCAAGTCTGAGCCAAGGAGGCCCCACTGAGGAAGAGGGTACCTTTGGGGTACTGGCATGTCCCACAAATGCTTGATCAGACTCAGGGTCTAGGGAATTGAGAGGCCAGGTTGATGCCTTTAGCTTTTTGTCACGTCCCTCAGGCCATTCCTGAGCAGTTTTTGCAGTGTGGCATGGTGCATTGTCCTGCTGGAGGGAGCTACTGCTGTCAGGGAGTGTCGTTGCCATGAGAGGGTTACATGGTCTGTAATGGTGTTTGGGTGGGTGGAGTGCATCGTGGCATCCACACAAGTGCCAGGACCAAAAGTTTCCCAGCAGAACATTGCACTGTAACAAGATGATCAATGTTATTCATTTCACCCACCAGTGGTTTTATCGTTTTGGCTAATTGGTGTATATGACCATACATTACATGCACTATTTATGCCTATATTAGATGGATGGATAGACGGACGGACGGATGGATAGATGGATAGTTAGATACAGTACAGTATATATAGCTCAGCAGGAGTGAGAAAAAGGAGAAAATGGAGAGCGGCAGTTTGTTTTCACACGTGTTTGCACAAGTGAGCCAGCGTGGCTGTTTTCCAGCCTCCGTTTCTGCCTCTTTGCGCTTGTGACCAGTGATCTGATTAAAGCTTGATACATTGCACCATAGGTGAAAGCTACACTACATCAGCCTAGCCTTGCTCACTTGCTGTAATGGAAGCCATTTAAAACAATCACTCTCAGATCAGGAGCCAGCCACAGTGATTTGTGTGCTCGCTGTCTGTGTGCTGTGTGCTCGTAGATCAAGCTGTGTTTGTATTTTTAGACTTGTCTTTAGATAGACGCTCAGGCTGGACGGGTTCTGCTGTTGTCTTGTTAAGTAATGTGTGAGGAGAAAACCTTCAGATTTGGGAGAAGAGGGAGTTTTAGTGTTTTCCGCTCATGTATCTGTGTGGGAACATCATCTCTGTGGGTGATGGACTTACGAGTGTGTGCCTCAGTTGAGATCAGTAACTGGAGCCGCAGCTTTTGAACAAGGCTGCCTACACATGCAGCCAAGGGCTCTGCTACCGGTCGTGATGGAGAGCTAAAAGCATGTACTGCCTCACTGCCTTAACTTTGACTTAGAGTGAATCTTTCTGTGGTGTTCTAGCTGATGTAACACAGATCTACTCCACAGATTAGCATCATAGTATGTATTATGTCACATGTTAAGCATTCAGTGGCTTTGCACCTTTTGTACATACTCATTATAGGTGAAAACTCTCCTGTAGTTCTTTGTATTATTTCTGAACACAGGTGGCATCAGGTGATGCAATGCAGGACTAGCACAGGTGGAGAAAATGTCTGGCGATGGGTGTGATTTTTATAACGGGATCAGGAGAAGACATCTGTGATCGCCGCTGAGCCTGCGGATGTGAGCGTGAGCCAAGATGCACACGGAAGTATGTGCAGGTGCCAGACTAGATGTGTTGGAGAGAGACAGAAATAAAGAAAGAGAAGCTATGGGAATATAAATTTCCCCCACTTCGTGCACATGGGAATGTCCAGTGAACTGTGAAATAAAAATTATAGATCCAGTGAAGAACATGTCAGTGTAATCTGCTCAGATAGATTCATCTTTAAAAGCCCTGATATGTTTCTTTTTATAACTTGGTGTGTATGTGTGTGTGTGTGCACAGCGTGATGGGTTTCTGTGTGTACTCGCATGTGTATGTTCTCTGTTGGCAACTTACCATCTGGCAGGTGGCCCGGCTGCCGGGCAACTCGCCCCATCGTGCACACACAGTTGCGCCCCACCTCCCCCGTGAGACTCAGCATCCCCCTGGTGACCTGAATCCTGCACCAGAAATACTGTTGCAATGTCTGGCTTTTATTCAGTAACAGTATTTAGTATATCGTTTATTGTCCCTGTACAGTAGCAATATCATTTGAGCAACAAGAAAACTTTGTGAACATGATCATGAAGAGGGACCTTTTTCTTAAACATATTGTACAAGCAGCATAGTCACACATTTGACAACCGTAGAAAAAGAAAAGTACAAATATGAGAGTTTAAACAAGCAAAGGATCGGGTCATATGTCATGTGTTTATTCGATTTTAGAAATAGTTTGGAGCCATTTTTCAGTTTTTAAACTTTTGTTGAGTAAACTTTCCATAGAAAAGAGTCTAAAAGTGGAACTTAATCCAGCCTTAAAGGACAAGTCTCTCAATAATCAATACATTTGTTATTGCTGACAGAAGTGACAATGTGTTAATCCGTCTCCAAATTCCCAGCCTTGCCTGTTGCCTGTAACCTGTTGGTTCATACTCACGATGTAAACCTCTTTAACTGGTTGTATTTCATATTTAAAAAGGCACAGTAATTTCATACAACAGCTCGGCACTATAGTTTTTCAGCAACTGTTGCTCAAACACAAATAAATACTGCATTTGTTAGGGGACTATTTTCAGCAGCGGATCAATGCACGTTTGTTGTACAAGTAAATATTTGTGGCAGATGTTTGTGGCATTCACTCAAAATGTACTTCAGTGCCCAGGTTCATTTGATCAGAGGGACGTGTCACTAGAGTTTCAACGATTAGTTGATTAATCAATTAGATGAGTGGCAGAAAGTGAATCAGCAGATTAACTCATTTTTCAAGCAGGAATCTCAACATTTGACTGTTCCAGCTTCTCTACAGAGGGACTGTGCAACCTTTCCATGTGGTACATTATATAAAATTTAATGTTATGTGCAATTGATGGGACAAAACGTTAGCTCTGGAAAAGTGTGATTTTTAGCAACCCAATCTCCAGAATAACTGTTGGCCCTGTATGTTTCTGCATATCACGGATATGTTACATTTGAATGTTTAATATGTAGAGGATATGTTGAAACTTTATGTAACCATTTGGTTAAGGTTAGGAAATAGGGTGTGCCTTGTTGACATATTGATGTCATACTGTTAACCATGGCAAGAACAAGCACCGCTGAAATCACAATTATTACAGACTCCGCAGTGGTTCCAAAAGAGGAGCAGCTTCAGTACTGTGGCGTCCTGAATGTTTTATGAACAGTCCCGGACTTCTCAGACTCTGTTAGTGACTTACCGCTCAGAGGGAACTCATTCAGCGGCTCCTCTGACAGCAGCACAGCGTCCCTCCCTCTCGACTCTCGCTGTGCGCACACTGGAGTCCGTGTCAAGTCATTTTGTCATAAAACTTTGGTAATGTAAACCTACCTGATGCTTGCGGCTCGACAAAAAACTACATATATGTGAATGTGTGATAGTTGTGGTATCATAACTATGGGGTCAGATCAGTCTCATAATGAATGAACTCACACAGGGTTTTTCACAAATGCACATGCTCTGGTTCACAGTTGTATTTTGGACTCACTAATGCACATGATCTGTTTCGCAATGCACACGCTCTGGTTCACAAATATAATGTTTATGCAAACTTGTAATATAAATTCGGAAATGCACACGGTCTGTTTCTCAAATGCACACGCTCTGGTTCACAAATCTAATTTTTATGCAAACTTGTAATATAAATTCAGAAATGCAAACGCTCTGCTTCACAAATATTATTTTGAGGCACACTTGGAATATAAATTCACAGATCTTGCGAATCGCTGAATGTGCATTTACAAACTGCTTCTCATTTGTGAACCTCTCTACATTTGTGAGAGAAATCTGTGTGGTGAATTTTGAGACTTCCCTGACGTCGTAGGTCAACGAACGTCACCATTGGCTGATAAATCTGTCAACCAAATTTATGATTCTGATCAGTTCATCAGTTAATCAGGTGTGTTCGCTTTCAGCCAATCGTATGGCTCCTTACATTTTCTCCACACTTTTAAACCAATCGCAGAGCTACTGAGCTACTGTTTGCAGTGTTCAATCAAGACGCGCTAGACTGAAATGGTGGAAGAGACATGGATCAATCTCAACCTGTAAGTAACACATTTATCTTATTATCCCCTCGTTATAAATCATGCAATGTTATTGAATTATAATGAGTTGAAGCGTTCTGCTTAGCCAAGTAACATGTTTGAATGAACATAAACTATGAATACACCCTATGTAAGGAGCCATACGATTGGCTGAAAGCGAACACACCTGATTAACTGATGAATCTGTCAATCAGAATCATAAATTTGATTGACAGATTTATCAGCCAATGGTGACATTCGTTGACCTGCGACATCAGGGAAGTCTCAAAATTCACCACACAGATTTCTCTCACAAATGTAGAGAGGTTCACAAATGAGAAGCAGTTTGTAAATGCACATTCAGCGATTCACATGATCTGTGAATTTATATTCCAAGTGTGCCTGAAAATAATATTTGTGAAGCAGAGCATGTGCATTTCCGAATTTATATTACAAGTTTGCATAAAATTTTTATTTGTGAACCAGAGCGTGTGCATTTGTGAAACAGATCGTGTGCATTAGTGAGTCCGAAATACAACTGTGAACCAGAGCATGTGTATTCGTGAGAAACCCTGCGTGAGTTCATTCATTATGAGACTGATCTGACCCCATACATAACAGCCTGTCACAGGTTGCAGTGTGATGATTAGAGGAGAAATGGCAGAGCATAAAGGTCCAGGTGGAAAAAACCCAACTCAGTCATTTAGGATTTTACTAAAAGAAGGAAATCACCTGTTGATTTATGTGCATAGATCCCAGGGGACATTATTTGTATGTGGGAGCTGTGTAAGTGTGTACTTTGTAGTAGATTTTATTATGTTGAACTATTAATATTGTAACAGAATCTGAATCTCACTCTGAGTTACTGTTGTTGTTCACAAACTAAAGAAATTAGATAATTTTTGTTTAGTTTGTACTGAATATTTGAAGGCAAACTGTAAAACTATATCACTTATTTTGCTGCAATTTTATTTTTTAAAATTGAAAAATGTGTCATTTTTTTTATAAATTCTTTTAATTTTTAATTTTATTTTCTATTTATTTTTGTGATATTGTCAAGAATATCCTTATCACAAAAATACCCTGAAATATTGTGATATTATTTTAGGGCCGTATCGCCCACCCCTATTTTAGCTTAAAAGACCCAGTTGATCTATACAAACACAGCTGTGAATGTCTTGATGTGTCGTTAAACATTACCGAACAGTGGTCTGCTACTTTCTGTTGCTTGGCCTGGCCTAGGCGTTATGCCATCCACCATTCCATCTGACTGCTGATGACAAACCCAGCTCATATACATGTCATCAGAACTTCATCACTTTAGAAATGCTAATGTATGTATGAAACATACAAATGTATCCGAGGTTTGAGAAACGTTCAGTATCAACATTTTATTCTGGCGACAGACCTGTTTATAGACCAAAGATTAATGGGGAAAATAGTCGGCAGATAGCTGAAGATGAGAGTAATTGTTAGTTGCAGCTCTACGTGTCACACAGTGCAACAGTGTGGGCCACTGATGTGTTTTTAATAGTTCTGGAGCAGCAATATAATGAAGGGATAAGCTCTACTGTGCTTTGGCTACACAGACAATACTTGTAGTGTTAGTAAGATCGACTTATTGCAGTTTTTTGTGCTTTTATGGACAGTATCACTGACTGATCGCTGTCTTCCTGTCTGTCTCTCTCTCTCTCTGTTTATTTTTCTCCTTCTTTTACTGTCATCATCACATCTGTTGTTCTTTGTGCCGATCTTCACTATATTACTTCCAAGCGGGACAGTAAAAAACAATTTTTATGAGATATGGATCTGGTAAATGTGTTAGTGGCACATTTTGCGCCTCTCTTGGGACAGCCACATGTATAAATGCTCTGGATGTTGAAGTGAATTCCAGGCTTTGGCTGTGTCCGCAGACAAGAGAGAAAGAAATGAGTCCAGTGATGCTTCTTTTAGCTGACCCAGCTCAGAGCTATAGATTAGAATGTAATGGCAGAATTTATAACCGTGACCCAGCTTTGTTTTGTCTCTGTAATCTTGAATTTTGAGGTGGATGAATATGAAGCGATGCTCTCGCTCTCAGTGTATTCGCCACATAATAACCTCCTTTAGTTTGTTATCGTTCTGTCACTGCTCACTCCCGCAAGGAGCATAGATGATATCTCTCTGTCCACACTGCTCATTGTTGCCACATTGTTTTCATAATTCACCATTCTTCTTTGTTTTTTTTATGTGAAACTGGATCTTTTATTCACACAGCATGAGAATAATTGTTTGGTTTTCTCGTTTATTAATTTGTCAGAGGTTCAATCAGTGACAAACCCTTGTTCACACTTTAATTTCCACCATGTTTGACCCAAGTGAAGGTCTTTTCTTGGGTATCGTCTCCCAAAAAACCTTCACGACACTTCCACTAATTCATAATGATGGTACCAGAGTAGAAAAAGCATTAATTTGCTGCATTGTGTCTAAAGATCTCTTAATAATTCAGGACCAAAATACATTCCTGGCTACATTTTACCACATAAAACCTCTAATCTGGTAGCTGGTCTGTTAACTGAGAAGAAACAGCAGGATGGAGTAAATAACTTTCTTAGGCAGCACTTCACTGTTTTCCACTCTTCATTGGCTTCAACAACAACACTTCTAGTTCCTGACAAGAAGGGTAAACAGGGGAAGTCATACTGCTTGTTGTATCAATGGGATACAACACCTGCGCAGTAACATCTGGTCTGCACCGCCCATAAGTATCAGTAACTGGCTTGCTAGCAGTAAAACATTGAGATGACTGATTGGGTTCACTAAGGCGTCGGCAGTTGATCTGTAATTAAAGAAGATAAACAAATGGTTTCATATAAAAATGTTCTACGATATATCAGCTGCTATCTATTCAAGCGTAGCCAGAAGCCTCTGTCAGGCTGAGCACACCCAAAGAGCACCTGAGCAGATACCACCCCTTTATTTCCAGCTCCATCTGCTGCAATCCTCCGACACTGCAGCTCCAGTTACATTGTGCATGTGCAATGCCACAATCAAAAGCTAGAAGGACTTAGACTGAGGTAAATGTGAGGAAAACCGCAGAGAGAGATGCAGCAGATTATATTTACTGTTTAAAAAGGATAGATCGTGGGGTTATATGGTGAACTTGTCCATAGTCCTTTTACAGTCGATGTCACTCGGCATGCACCCAGTTTGGAGAAGCAGGCAGGAGTCTGACATGGAAGCCAAGCAATGCACTGCTGTGGATGGGGTCAGCAACAAAAGGTTTTTTAGCCACCTGAAAAAAGTCCCACCTAAGCATTTCAACATCAGTTTAAGTGTATGCTATATTGAGAGTATTTTCAGTGCTTCAGCGAAAGCCGTTAATAGCCTCAGTTCCCCATCTATGCTCTCGTCGAAGCCACCAGACTCCATTGACAAAAACAGTAATTTTAGCTCACTGAACACAGGAGCTGCTGGTCTTTGACCGCTTTGATAAGTCAATGAGTTGGTGTTTCTGTGTGACTTTGGTGAATCCAAACTAAACGCCAAAGTCACACAGTAAGACAAACAAAAAATAACTGATCGAGGCAGCGGAAGGTCGGCAGCTCCTGTGTGGGCGGCAGCTCCTGTGTGGGCGTGCTGACTGACATCTGTATGTCTAATGTCTCTTTTTGGATAATCTGGTTAATTACATACCAGATGGTTGTACATTAATGCAAAAATACTTCAAATTCAACACTCCCAAGCATCAGCCCTGCTCGTAACATACTTGTATAATCCTTCCTTGCATTCATATCTGAAACTTTTTTGTATTTTATCTTTTGAATTTCACATAATTTCATCCTTCTATTCATCTCCCTCTCCGTCACGACATATTTGCTTCTTTCTGTGACACAGTTGGTTCTTTTCAGTATCACACTAACAAATATCTTTCTTCAGTCCCTTTTCACACCTTTGAGATTCATTTCAGAGATTTTACTTTGTGTCTCCTCTGTCCCCATCTGTCCCCGTGCCCTCAGTGTGTGCATCTCGCTGCCAGAAGTTCCTGATCTCGCGGGTGGGGGAGGACTGGATCTTCCTCATTCTGTTGGGGCTGCTCATGGCGCTGGTCAGCTGGGTCATGGACTACGCCATCGCCTTCTGCCAAGAAGGTAGGAAAGAGACAGAGAGCCAGAAAGAGAGAGGGCAGAGCTACAAAGACAGATGGATGGGCAGTAAATAAAGGGCTGTTCTCAAAAAGGCAGCAAAGTATTAATCCGCGAGGAGCCATGCTTTGCTCCAAACAGCTAAGAGGCCTTGTCAGGTGTGAAGTAGATGGTAAAATATTAATACAAATTGACTGTCAATCTGTCGCAGAGCTATATTGATCATGAGATAGCTAACAAAGCGGCTTTCATTAATATTTAAAGGATCAACAAATAGGGTTTTTACTCACACACAGCATCACATGCATCATCTTAACACTGACACTTGAATTGATTCACTGGGTGCTGAGATCAAACTAATTTAACTGTGATGAAAAGTTAGAGTGTGAAACGGAAAATCCTCTGAAATGATTAATGATAATAGAACAGTGCATTCCTAAACAGATAAGCAGTAGAAGATGTAGCCCCTCTTTCTCACATCAATGAAATATCTGTAAGTAATAAACCACAACTAGAAGACTGATTGTGGAACCATGAATATATGAGATAGATTATTTGTTTCTGTCTGTCTTTCTGTATCGATCCCCGAAGATAAATTACAACGCCATAGCAGCCATACACAGATGACATTAACACAAACAGAGCTTCCAGTATAGTTAAACATCAAGTTGGAACATTACAGTGCGCTTTCCCAAACTATTCAAGTGATATGTTCTGGATGTGTGAAGAGCCGACTTGTAAAGTCTGATAGCACTCAGCAGGAATCATCTCCTGTATCGCTCCTTCACACACTGGTGTTGAATATGTCTGTTGCTGAAAGTGCTCTTTAGTAAATGCTTTGAATGCGATTTACACACTGTTGCATCAGAATTAAAGAGGCACTTTGCTGATTTTAAACCAGCTTTGTATCAAAACAATGTGGGTAGTATATGTAAATGAACTCCATCTAACTAGTCCCTAGATATCCCTCCTCGCCCCATAGGCAGCGCTGGTCAAATATAAACCATGATATCTGATACTCAGTTGCCTATTTCTGGAATGTTTTCAGAAACAGCATTTAACAGTAAGGGATTGAGATTGTTTCTTGCCAGCCGGCTGCCATTTTGTTTACGTCACGTCACCCACAAGCCGTGGAGTTTATCGCTGTTGCAAAAGTGTCCTTTTTCTCTGTTTTCTCAGGTCATGTAGCACCAATTTAAAAAGTATTTGCATCTTTCTACTGCACAGACAGCCGAGTTTTATTAAAAGGCCAGCTTTCCAGCCGTGAAGTGCTTCTGTAACTATTCACCTGAATAGTTTATGGTGTTGTATATGGTACCATTGTAATCCTTGACCATTAAAACATAGAGGCAGAGAGGCATACTACTGCCTCATAACGTTACGCCCTGAACATGACCTTCTTGATTTTATATCCGTTACCTTGGAGATAAAACAAATGCCACTTGATGAGTTCGTCCAAGAAGAAGACAACCCAGAGAGCTCTGCTGTTGTTACTTTGCAGTGTATGTAGTTTAACTTCAAAGTTATAAATGCACAGATATATTTGCAACAGTGAAATTACATCTGCAGTCATTTTTATAGTAATGTCCTTTTGTTGCTTGTGATATTTATGCTTATATTTTTCTCTTAAACAATTAATATTGCTGTAAATACTACTCCACAGGTCATCAGTAACTTAATTGCGCTGTCATCCATCAGCTGTCAGCTGTGATCTCGTTGCGGCTCAGTCAATGTGACATATCTCCCGCTGCACAGAGGATTGTGGGTCAGATTGCATACTGCAAAATTGGACCAGATGTAGTAGAGCATTCTGGTATTTTTGGAATACTGCATTTGACATACTATGTGTTGGGACATAGTCAGTCTTTTTCTGGCTTAGTATGGTAGTATTGGAACACACAGTCGGTTATTGCAGAAAGCAAAATGGCTGTCATGACCACCACGAGGCATTTTTGCAATGGCTCCATTTCTGAAAATCAATTTTCGTTGATGATACTTTTGAATACAGGACTTTTACTTATAATGGGGTAATTTTGTTTTGTTGTATTAGTACTTTTAATACATTTTACTAAAGGGTGAGGTGAGTAGTTTTTCCTTTGCTACCCTGACCAAACAGCAGAAACGCTTCTGCTTTTGTGTTCGATAAAATTGATATCAATTTTGATAGTAAAAAAGCTGAAAATGAACGAGGAAGGGAAGCCCACCAAGCTGCTGTAGGTGAGGTAAGATTCATGAATAAGGCAGAGACGGGAGGTCAAAGGGCAGTGATGAAGGTCAGAGGAATCAGGTTAATATATTCACAACAGATGAATCTGATAGGATGAGGGAAGTGTTTTCTACTGCATTATACTGAGATGAAGTTACGTGTGTGCAGCACAGAAGTGGATGTTGGGTGGACTGGACAGTAACATGCTTCTGCAGTACATCGCCTGGGTCGCCTACCCTGTAGTGCTCATCACTTTCTCAGCAGGATTCACTCAGATACTGGCGCCTCAGGCTGTAGGTAAGACACACACACACACACACACACACACACGCACACACACTCACACACACACATTTAAGCAAGTTATGCATAAACATGTGTATTCATATCTCTAATTCCTAGTCACATGTCTGTGTTTGAATAATGTAACTGGCTCCACGAGGCATCATCAGGCCTCCAAAGACAAGTGTGTCTCTGTGGTCACGTCTGCAGGAAATCCATACTGTAAACCTCTGATGAGATGTGCATACAGAAAACTGTATGAATATCAATAAGCTGTCCCCCTCACCCACCTCCCTCGTTCTTCATTTTCCTCCCCTCATTCCTCTTTCTGTAATTGCTTTCTTTCAACCCGTCTTTTCTCCCCACTCCATCATCCCACCTGACATCTCCTTTATCTCCCAGGTTCAGGTATTCCAGAGATGAAGACGATACTGAGGGGGGTGGTCCTAAAGGAGTACCTGACATTTAAGACGTTTGTGGCCAAAGTCATTGGTCTGACCTGTGCTCTGGGCAGTGGGATGCCTCTGGGGAAGGAGGTAGGTAGAGGGTTTCTTTTTCCTTCATCTCTTCTCATCACAGTCTTCTCGCCTGAACAAATTACACATGACAGATTGCTTGACAGTTTTTGAAGTTTCCTGTCGGGCAGGATATAATAATCTTGCTTCTTCTGGTCTCATTAAAGTCACGGCTGCGAAAATAAGAAAAGTGATTTACTGCTAATAACACTCGCATTTCCCATTTGGGGCTTTATAAAGTTGTTTAAATCTGAATCTGAGCAGGTTTTAATCGTGCAAAGGTTTTGAATAATGTCCCTGGACCTGAGTATAGCATGCTCTGCTAAAATGTGCCCTCAGTCATATCTTGTCTACTAACATCCTAATCTCTCTCCATCCTCCCTCTCAGGGACCCTTCGTTCATGTTGCCAGCCTGTGCGCCGCTCTCCTGAGCAAAGTTATGGCTCCTCTTTTCGGTGGGATTTACATGGTGAGGACAGTAAGCACATTAAAGACAGGAAGGCAGACTTCCAGGCATGCTGATGCACAAATGAGTCATTGAACCTTGAAAGAATTTCACAGATTGTGTCTCTAAGTGGAGGATTCACCATCAACTAAATGTGCTCTCTTAGAGATTAAAGTGGAAATAGACAAGGTTTTATTTCTTTAATTTACCCTTATGAAGGATATGTTGATTGCACAATGTCAGAGCTATAAAATAATGACTGTCTGATTACATTGGTTCCCTATAAGCCTCGCTTTCACTGTGCAATTCTTTCTTCCGCTGGGTACGATCTTGCGGGAAAATGATGGCTCTGTTTACTGAGCAAAAAATGAAATGCGTCAGCCATTGCACAACCAAAACAGGAATAGGATAGAGCTTTTGTTTTCCCTGATAGCTATTCGTAGTGAGTAGATGTAACTTCAACTGGTTACGTGACCTGTCCTTGAGCTACATGACTCGCCTAGCATACCTACATATCAGTCCACGATCATCCCCCTTTGCTACGTTTTCTGTTTCCACTTTAAATTTACGTGCTATTATATTTACAGCAGTTGGTGGTGCCTACTAAACTCAGATATGTAGAAATATTAACCACTTTGTCAGGACGAACCTGTCCTGTTGATAATTAAAATGCAGAATATCTTCCAAATTAATCACTGAATCACACCACCACCACCAACAAAGTCACAGAGCCAAAATCACAGTCAGTGCTTTCCAAACTTTTAACCTTTTTTGTGCAGCTACTCCCCCATAATCCACCTCATGTACTTGACTTAATCTGAGTGACGGAGCAACTTGAAGTTGTTCCTGTCTTTTTCCAAATGATTAAAAGTGAATTGCACTCAGGGGAGGTTTTTTCATAGGCATTTTGGGTCAGTTTGACAAATTTCCATCCATAATCAAAGAGGGATCATAGCAGTTACACAGTACTTGATCACCAGGATGCATAAGTGCATCTTTTTCTTTTTATAAACTTTATTTATCTAGGGAAGTTTCATTATGACCAAAGCTATCTTTGTCACGTCGCCCTACTTACACACACACTCACACCAGGAAGCTGCCCACTACAAACATGGAGTAACTGAGAGTTGAAGGTGCTGTAAACACTTAGAACATTAATATAGCAGCTAAGAACTATCTTCTTTATAAAGATATAGAGGAGTAATATAGTGAGCAAAGAGAGTCACGCTGTGTGTTGGAATCTGAGTTTCTCTGTTCTTTGTAGTGGTTAGCCGCATGTCAAGTCAAGCACCAAATCAAAACTAAAGTTATCCAAGGACACTTTTCATATTGAGCAGGTCTAGATCATACTTACAGAGACCCAACAGTTCCCCCATGAGCAAACACTTGGTGGCAGCAGGGAGGAAAAACTACCTTTTAAGATGCAGAATCCTCAAACAAAACCAGGCTCTAGGTGGGCGGCCATCTGCCTTGACCAGTTGGATTGCGTGTGCATGTGAATCCCTTCCTTCATGTCCCACTGCTTAGCTAAGTGTCACCCCTCTGCACTACACTGATAATGGCGATAATGGCGTCCCGACCCATGGTGGTGGAACGGCATCATTGCAGAAGCGTGACGTCCACCCTCTGATTCCCCCCCAGGTTAACACCATTAGCTCTATCAGCAGTGTTTACATTGTTAGCACCGTTAACTGCTAGCCGCCAGCTCAGCCATGTGCAGACATGCTCAAGCCATGTGCAATCATAGATGTGCTCTGAGCGTCGCATACAGCTGCTTTAAGGGCCACCTTTCCGGGCTCTAACAGGGGACCATCACATCCCAAGCTCACTTCTTGCTTATATCACATTTATTACTGATGATGTAAGAAGTTGAAAACATTTTTGCAGTCGAAATGAAACGTGTTTGCAGTGGAAATATCTTATCGTGACATCTCTTTTATGTTGAACAACCCACAGTGATTTTTTAATGGATTCAAAGTATTGCAAGATGGATTCTTCCTTTAATCCTTCTGCTTATGAAAAAGCCGAGGCCTAAATAGTCCCTGAGAATAAATGAGGATGGGCAACATTTACCCACATGGGAGGATTTTCTTGATCTTTGTGTTTTTTTTCCTTTGGTCTTCAAAGGTGTGAAGCTGCAAGAAACACGCACACACATACACCTACACGCACACACACAGAGTCCCAGTTATTCTCTAAAAAGTCTTTGATGTTTCCTTGACTTTCTGCCATTCCCCAGGACACACTCTCACCTCCACTCATGCGAGACCGCACCCTGGGCTTCTGTGTAATTCTGCAGTGGACAGTGTGCTATGCTTCTCCTCCATGTGCCAGCAGCACCAGCATCACTCACCATCAGTACGGAGGAAGATAGACTGCAGTGATGAGGAGGAAGAAAAACTCATGTCAGCACAGTTAGAAAGACTGAAATAGTCCAGGGGTCGACTGTGCAACCATTAAACATAATCAGTCGGGGAAAATGTTAATTCAGTTCACTGCTGAATCAAGACTGTGTTTGCTGAGGCTCATTCGCCGCTTGTTTGATTTTGTGTGGTTTGGATAATAAGTTGGATGTCTTCCAGGAGCAGAAATAAAAAGGTAACCTCTAACACTCGCACAGATCGCACTCACGCATATTTCTGTCTGTTTTTCCTTTTCACTTTCACTGCTAAAGGAAGAGCCCTTTGAGGGGAGCAAGGTATGAAATGCACGAGCCAGATAGTTTCTTTATTGGCAATTCCATCAACATTAATAATCCATGCTGTCCATTTCAGAAGCAGAGATAGATTGATGCTTTTCCATTTGTCTGCGCTGTTTTGAATCTGTTTAGTGAACCGTCGCAGTAAGGCATCGATCTGTGCCGTCCTTGCTTCTATACAAACATCTCATTCCCATGATTTCAACACACAATCCTAGGTTTTCAGTTATGGCCTCTCATATCCCACCTCTTGTGTATGCAATCTCCTCGGATGTGAAAAGATACAGCAGCGGCTTTATAGTAAAACTGTTGGGTTTATGAACAGTTGGTGACTTTGGTTTTCATGAGTAATGCATTTGTTGTGTTTGTGTGGCATTTGCATGTACATGTACACCTGTTGTTTGAATGTGTGTGTGTGTATTTGCTTGAATGCACGGCTCTGTGCGTGCGTGTGTGTGTGTGTGTGTGTGTGTGTGTGTGTGTGTGTGTGTGTGTGTGTGTGTGTCCACTTGTGTGTATATCTGGCTCTTGTCGTACAGAACGAGCTGAGGAACACAGAGATGCTGTCGGCTGCCTGTGCAGTGGGTGTGGGCTGCTGCTTCGCTGCCCCTATTGGAGGTAAGACAACAAGGCTCCAGCCTCTGATTGAATGCTATCTAATTATGGTAGACAATTACAGGAGCTAATTAGATGAGGAAAATATGTACCCCGCTGGCAGGAGAACGGTGGCCAATCTTGGTCAGTCCGTCCGTCTAACTCTTTGATTCAGAGCAACGTACTGTATCTCAACAACTGCTGTCGACGTCAGAGTTCACTTGTAAGGTCAAAATGTGCCATCTGATCCAAACCTGTGTCTCAATTTGGATACTTGTGTTTGTACACGTTCATATAGTACACTGTGTCTACACTGTGTATGTACTTGAGTAGTGCTTGAATTTCGACAGGGTTGTGTTGTCTCAAATTGAATGACTATTGTACACTTACCGGAAATGACGATCATAACATTTGACCTCCTCTTCTTGTTCATGTTCTCCTTGTTCCACTTGTTCTTGCTCTGTTTTTTTTAATGTTTTTGTTTCTCTTGTTCTTGCTTTTGTTCTTGTTCCCCTTGTTTGTTCTTCTTGTTCATCTTGTTCTTTTACCTCATGTTCTTCTTGTTCTTGTACCTCTTGTTCTTGTCATTGTTCTTCTCAGTTTTTTCGTCGTCTTCTTGTACCTCTTGTTCTTCTTCTTGCTCCTCTTGTTCTTGTTATTCCTCTTAATGGCAAACAGAGTGATGCAGGAATGAGTAGTTTTATGAGTCAGCAATTTAGCACTCCAGGTTCCCTCATCTCAAAGTCAATGAGTTTATTTGTCAGATGCCTCAAATAAAGTCTGTGGTTAACACAACTTTAAGAGACTTTCACGTCTTGTTCTACATCATAAAATACATACATATATAAAATACCCCATTCTTGAATTTTGAATTGTTTACACGTCATTAAAAGGTGGTTGCTTAGTGGCTAAGTGAGACTACAGAGGTTGTCAGGGACAATAAACATCATGCCAAACAAAAAGCTCAGTGGTCGTGATGTTGAAGTCATAAGACCGTGCTTTAGTTCGTTCATAGCCTAAAGTTGGCTTTTTAATCATGGCGATTGTTGTTACACTTTAAAAATCATAAAAGCAGTATTCATTTGTGGAGATGATTCTGGTGAACAAAACATGTAAGTATCAAAAAATTTTGTTTTACACAGAGCATATTTTCTCCAACAATCCCAAAAAAAAATCCCATTGGCTTTTTGTAGAGGAATTCAGGGCGATGTTAACTTCCTACTTCGCCTACAAAAAAAAACCAGACAGAGCTTTACCACCAACAGTTGACCACGATTGTCGCCTGCCAAAATATTTACTGGCTTGTTTGCTTGTTTATTGGGCGCCATTGTTTTACAAGTTTGGTGGTTCCCTCCCCTTCATGTGAATAGTAAAGATGGCGACCATTAAGAGGAAGAAGGAAGAGTACACCATCCTGTTTCTCATAGTGCATAGCATTATACCTTACTTGTCAGTGTGAAAGCACTTATGCACTCAAAATAGGAAGTTGAAGTACATAAAAATGCGAATTGAGACACAGTTTTAGATCCATGTCAAGAAATGTAGTTAACAAACTAATTTGCATTGACTACCTGTGTTCTTCAGATGGTGATTCTTAACTGATAAAAAACACGTGTTGCCATTTTCAGCAGATATTTGTCTAGAGGGAACAATTTGATCACATAAAGACACTGATGATGCAGTATAGTACACTTGGAAGTGACGTGTTGCATTAACTAGACTTCTTTCCTGCCAGGTTGTATCTCATGATCTTCATCTGCATGTATATATTTATGTATATCCCCTTTATGTAACAAGTTAAAAGTCTCAGTGAGATTAAAATCTCTTTTTCAAGAATAACCCGGCCAACAGGGCAACATAAACATTGTTACAACAATAAATACAAAGAGACGAATACAACTGTCTGTCACACACTACAAATAACTGAACACAATGTTTATGTAATATGCAGTAAAAAAAAAAAGATGTAGTTGCCAACTTATAACGGAAATGTAGATGTTCAAATTTCCATAATGGCTGTTTCAACTATTTCTTCAATAAAGTCTCTGAGTGTATTTTAAGTGTGTTTGTTTGTGTGTTGCAGGGGTGCTGTTTAGTATTGAGGTCACTTCAACGTTTTTTGCAGTGAGGAACTACTGGAGGGGCTTCTTCGCCGCCACCTTCAGTGCCTTCATATTCAGAGTGTTGGCAGTGTGGAATCAGGAGGAAGGTAAAGGACAAATAATTTATCAAAGTCCTTATCCCATGTTTTTAATTACAGTTTTCTGCGTTTGTGTATCTCAGTGTGTCTTCTTCAGTTGTCTGGATTGATGATGAATAAGATCTGGAAGGAGTTAGGGAATATTATTTGAGTTTTATCTTGCTTTATATTATTAATCATTTAATGGGGCAGGGTCAGTATTATATATTAAATGATGTGTGATTGTGTCCAGTCAGTTTGTATCTGTAACAAACAGCCATATTGCTGTGCAGTCCACACAGGCTGACAACACTCCTCTATTTCCTCAGAGACCATCACTGCTCTCTTTAAGACCCGTTTCCGTCTTGACTTCCCGTTTGACCTTCAGGAGCTTCCAGCGTTTGCCATCCTCGGGTGAGTGTGTTTCCCTGGACTGACGCCATATTAAGCCCTGATCCCAGAGCAGTTTGGCGCCTAAGAGATCTAAGAGTCTCTCTCTGTAGTCTCGCCCTGGTCACATTCACATTCCTGCTGTGAGTCTGAAGGTTGATTTGTATCCGATGAACGGGGCATGAAATTAACTTTTTACTCTGCTGATTACAAATAGAAGCTGTATCCACATTGTCACGTGCCAGATTTGATTTGTTTGATGGCGAAATGTTTTAATAGAGAGAGATAAAAAATGAACATCAGTTGGCTTCCTGTCAAAGAGCCCTGGTAAAGTGACCTAACCAGGGGCAGTAAAATTGTATTTCAGTGGCAGTGTGATTGCTTTTCAGTGTAACTGATTTGTTTTGTCCTGGGGTGCTCTTCTCTTTCACCTTCAACAGACTAAACAGTTGTGTCTCTGTCTGTCTGTCTGTCTGTCTGTAGGATTGCCTGTGGTTTTGGTGGTGCTCTGTTTGTCTACCTGAATCGCCTGATTGTGGAGTGCATGAGGAAACAGAAGACTATTAACAAGTTCTTGCTGAGGAAGTGAGTATCTAACTCATGATGCTACACACAACATTTACTCCTTTGTGGATCAAACTGAATGAAAAATTCATCCCATCGATATTTTGGGAAACGCACTTATTCACTGTCTTGCTGAGAGCTAGATGAGAGGATCGATACCACTGTCATGTCTGCATGGTTGAGTGTGAAGCCACTTCCAGAAGAGTGTTTGCTTTGCTTTGCATGACGACTGGAAACAGGAGGAAACTGCTTGTCTGGCTCAACTTGCAAAAATACACTTTTGGGTTTTGTACAAATAAACCAAACAAGATATAGATAGTTAATAGGTGTGGCACTAGTAGGTGGATTTTGCCACCTCTAGACAGAGCATGGCTACCCGTTTCCTGTCTTTGTGTTTAAGCTAAGATAACTGGCTAGTTTCTATAGCTTCATATCAAGTGTACAAATATCAGAGGAGTATCAGTCTTATCATGTATCTTTCAGCAGGACAGCCAATAAGCAGTTTTCCCAAAATATTGTATTATTCCTTTAAAGGAGCTCCCTACGACATTCAGAGCATATCTTTGATTCAGAGTCTGGGATTGTCTGCCCATGGCTCTCAACATGAAGTTGGCTGTGCCGGTAGCTAGCAGCTAACAATGCTAATAGCATAAACAGTGCAAACAATGACTACCATGCTAATAGAGCTAAGCTAATGCTTCTAGGACAAAGCTGTCCCAATGTAAGCGATACCCACCGGGGTTTGCACCGGGTTTGTTATAAAAAATCTTGGAAAAGTTACAGAAAATTAATTAGAAAAGAATTAGAAAAACTGTTTTCCAGGCCTGGAAATAGTTTAGAGTTAGCAGAATGTTTTGGGAAAGTTCTGAGTATACATTTTTTTTACATTATGTGAAATATGTTCTTGTATTAATAAATTAAATTCTAGTGTAAAGCTACGTGACTGTTTAAACCAGTGGTTCCCAATTGGTTTAGCCACGAGGTCCAGATTTCTCCTCAGTCATTAGTTCAAAGTCTGCACAGTTTAATATATCCAGCACCGTACTTGCTTTGACTGTGTTGTTGAGCTTGTTTGCTGTAGCTATCAAGTAGCTGTTTGTTAGTCACTCACTCTACAGCAGGAAACAGCACATCAGAATGAAAGCTCTGTGCCGGAAATTCACTGTACTTCAAAATAAAGTGTGTTTTTTACAGACTTGACATGTTTGCAAGTCTCTTGCGGTCCATTCAGTGTGGACCTGTGACCCACTTTTGAACTGCTACCCACCATTTGGGAACCTCTGGTTTAAAATATGTTCATAAAAATCCTGCCAACATGTCAAACGTTATGCCAAATATGTTCTTGTAATAAAAATTTAAACTCCATTGGCATGCAGCTAGTTGGCAGCAGAATGTCTAACATGCAAGTATTGTTAGAGAGCACTGGAAGTTTGCTTCTCGGCAAATGCCTGGGAAGTACGTGTTAATGATGTATGGCTTTAAAACGACAAATATAACACATGGCTCAAAAGAGATGCAGATCCCCGCCATGCTGGAAGGATGCTTTGCACCAAAACATATGAGATTGGAATCACTGGGAAGCAGCTCTGGTCAGCCATGGTGCTCATCAGACTACATACGTAAGCACATATTTCAGGCCTGCTGTAGCTAGGCCAGATAACGTAACCCTTCTACCAGTACGGCAAGCATGTGTATAGCTGCGGGGCAACCTCAACTGCTGCTCCACCAATCCATTGCTGCATTGGCTGGTGTGATGTGGGCACTGAGGATGGTCATCTCACATTATTTGTAAAGCTCTTGTGCAGAGCTCTGTTTTCAAACAGCGGAATAGTGGCTAGATTTAGCTGTGGGGAAACATTTGGAATTGTTGCCCAGGCAGGCTATTTTAAACTACTTTAATAAAGTCATGTAAAGGGGGTAAGATATTGTGGGAAAGTTTTTAAAATGCATTGGTAAAAATGTGTTGGAACCCTGGAGTGCAGTCCAGAGCGACAGTATTTTGCTAGCCAATGGGAGAGACTTACATGCAGTAACATGCATGTCAGACTGTTTACCACAACATCGAAGAAAGAGGCTCGGATTTCAACACACACAGAGGTAGCGTGACTTCACTCTCTGCTCAGGACTCCATTACTCCACTATATCTTGACATAGTTGTTTGCTGTAACATCAATGCTCTGAATGTCGCATGGAGCCCCTTTAAAATTCCAGTAAATATTAAAGCCACATTTTAAGTAGTAAATTGTGAATAAACTGAAGGATCAAAATCCCGCTCACGTGCTCTTAAACTAGTGCTTCAAATTGGCTTTGGAGTCTTATGCCACATTGTGAATGTAATATTGGGGAATGTAGGTAAAGTCCTTGTATGAATTGGGTCAGTTTCACACATCACAGGGAGCTATTTATAGTTCCCCATCCTCCCCACCCAGAAATCAAGTATAAGCACATAGTGTGACAAGCGCACCCATTAATGACCCCGTAGTCCTTCTCTTCCTGTCAGGCGCCTGTTGTATCCCGCACTTGTCACCCTGCTGGTCTCCACTCTCACGTTCCCTCCAGGCTTCGGGCAGTTCATGGCCGGACAGGTGAGAAAATACTTTCACGCTCTTATGACAGCATGAAAGCTTCGACTGTTGTTGGATGATTGATGGTGATTTTTAATGAAGTGAGAGTTGGTGTCAGGTTGAGGGTCATCTGGCTCCTCTTGTATGATAGCATAAGCTGTTTAATCACTACCATGTTTCCTGATATAAAGACAAAGCAAAATTAAAAATAACATTTTTTGAACAAATGCAACCAACAGAAATCAGATGCTTATTGTCTTATTGTCTATATTCAGGCTTCTCTGCTCAGTTGACAATTGCTCATAGTTGCTAAATACAAAACTCGCTGATGCAATGCTGCAGTGTTTGTGCAGAAATAAAACAAAGGAATAAGCATCTGATTCAGATTAAGTGGATATTGCAGACACATTGTACTGCCACTGGAAACGTTTGACAAGTAACACAACAAAGTGAAATGTAGTTTGAGCTTTTTTTAGAGATGCAGAGCACACAGTTTTTGCGCTTGTGTTGCCTGTGCACCTGTCACACTGCACAATGATCCTGCAAAACAAGCCATTTAGATGCATTGTGAGACTTTAGAGACTGTCAAAACATGTTAAAAACATCTGTTAGTGAGGTGAGTGAATAACTTTTATTTTCCCTGTGCAGCTTTCAAACATTTATTGAAGAAAAAAAATCTGACGTAAAAAGACAAATTGCTGCACTGGCATCAGCAGGTATCTGCATGCAGAATTTGTAGGTGATGGGACAAGATTTTGGTATGTGAAGCGTTCTGGTTTCCATTTGTAGTCTGAGGCAGTATTGACCGGTCATGTTTGAGTGGCAGGTAAACCTTCCATGTGGAGAGTAAACTGAGGCAGAACATATCGGCCGAAATGCAATATTGGGACCCATCTGACCATCTGATGACGATTTAGCTCCTTTCTATTTTTTATGTCTTCACCCCGTCGACAGCCGTTGCCAGAGGCATTATGTTTTCAGGTTGTCTGTCCATAGGTACCTATGTCCCATTGTTGTGAACGTGATATCTTAGAAGTGCTCTGAGGGAATTTCTTTAGATTTGGCACAAACATCCACTTGGACTCAGTCAGTGTGACCTCACAAAACTATGTTTTGGCCATAACTCAAGGATTCATATGGTAATTGTGACAAAATTTCACACAAATGTCTAATAGAATAAAATGATAAAGTGATAGGGCTGCCCCTGACTAAGAATTTTTCTAGTCGACCAATAGTCGTCATTTAGGGCCACTAGTCGACTAGTCACCTGCATGTTTACGATATTAATTTGATTATTAAATGATATATTTTGGGCGGGGCAACACAATGGTTTGAGTTGAAGGTGTGAGAAAGAATAGTATCAGTAACATTGTTAACACTGTGCTACATTACAGAGAAATACAAAACCGTACTAATGAACCTTCATTAATATAGGCCTATATTTTATCTACAAGTGCACGTCACACACTGAGCGAGCCGCCTGTTAATGACGCTGTGGGCTAATGGGCATGTAGCTACTTCCATGTTTCAGATGATACGTCATGTTTGTAGTCGACCAATGAAGATGAGTTTACATATCACCTTGGGTTCGTCCTTCACCTTCTCAAAATGATCCCACACTTTGGATTTCCTGCCCGACATGTTATTAACTAGCCTGTGGAATAACTGCAGGTACCAGCCCTGGACATTAACCTGACTCCTGTCTGACTGCTGAGCGTAGACACTTCCTGTGTCTGTCCTTTCAAATTAAATTCCCACATGGTCCAGTCATACAGGTTGTGATTTGTTTTGACAAGGCGCAGCTCCTGATAGAGTTCTACTCTTTTTTTTTTTTTTTACTGTGACTGAGCGACCAATGAAATCTTGCCGAACATTTGGTCGACTATAAGAGGGCAGCCCTATGAAGGGATGGTATTTTATATTCAAAAGGTCAAAGGTCAGCTTCACTGTGACGTCATAATATTGTGCATAGAACACTTCTGGACTTTATTCAATGTCATATCTCAGGAACAGAAGAGGAGACATTTGTTCAGATAGTGAATTTGTGACACTAATCTTGGGTAGAGATTAGCCAAAATGACCATTGCTCAGCGGAGGAAGTCTTGGCCCAGATGTCCCCTTTACCTACCTTCACTGGAACCACCTAAATATTTGTATTTGCCCCTAGAGGCTAATTGTCCTCAGAGCGATAGCTGATTAGTTTAAAGATGTAAAGCAGGTGAAATTATCTCACCTTTATGTTCGTTTTTTTTTTGTTTGTTTGTTTGTTTGTTTTTTCATTTAAAAGTCAGTAACACCCAAAGTGGCCATTTAAAATTGAGTTTGCAGTGCACAGATTACAAAAAAGATTAAAGTCCCTTCAATGTACTTTATTTCACCAGGATAATCGACTCAGTATCATTGATGCTATCATTAAGGGACTCCTGGGATTTATAAAAAAACAAACTTTACAACAGTAAAAACAAAACATAGCAGCAGTATCAAAAGCAGCATTTCAGGCTGCAGGAATTTCCAGGAGATGTAGATCCCAGCGCAGCCTTCACTGCTGACCTTTGCGGCCTCCTGCACAGGTCTGTCATGGGCGCTGAATTAAGAAACAGACATTCAGATGACCTCTCTCATGTTGACCCCTCAGCTGACGCAGCAAGAGTCTCTGGTCGCGCTATTCGACAACCGCACGTGGTGCCGCCAGGGCGTGGCAGAGGAATTCGACTACATCAGCCACAACCACGCTTGGAAGCACCCACAGGTCAACGTCTTCATCACACTCATCCTCTTCATCATCATGAAGGTAGGCCTTTGACATGTGTCTATAGAACATTGTCTGATTTGACTTTTGATGATTCGTCACACGTGCTTGTCTCTTTGTTTCAGTTCTGGATGTCCGCTGTGGCCACCACCATGCCTGTCCCATGTGGAGCCTTCATGCCAGTTTTTCTTATTGGTGAATACAATCTACTGCATTTTTTAATGTCTCTACTGCAGTGGTAAGAAGCTCTCTAACTAATTTCCTCCATCTTTGTGTGACGGACAGGTGCAGCATTTGGCAGACTTGTCGGAGAGATCATGGCAGCCATGTTTCCTGATGGCATACATGCAGTCGGCAACGTGTATCCCATAGTCCCCGGCGGTTATGCTGTCGTTGGTGAGTTCTCTTTTTCTGTAATTCACCATTTTGTATCTGATTTGCCTTGATAACTAATTTTCAGGCCATTTTTCACTTTTCCTCTCTCCTGTGTGATTGGAGTCGTCCCCGCCACAGAGGCTTCAGACTTCATACCAGCTTATAGAATGTGACTGATGAAAACTGATTCCACTTAAATTGGACTACATTTTGGGCCGAAGTAAAATAGAAAATCGTTCCATACAAAATTACCACGGTCGTGACTCACTGGTTAGCGTGACAGGAGGGCGCTAAATGTTATGAATTAGAATGACATCCCGCAGAAAATCTGGTTTGGATTTGCTGTCTTGCACGAAAATCTTCCCTGATTAATCACACACAGACAGTGTGCACATTCAACATCACATTATACAATCTAATGTTTAATTCCTGTTAAAAAAATATGTTTGATCTCCTCTAATAACTGCATTAATGGTTTTAAAGAGGCTAGACAGAAAAGGATTTTTCTTAAATTCCCTCCTACACAGGTGCTGCAGCGTTGTCTGGAGCAGTCACCCACACTGTATCCACAGCAGTCATAGTGTTTGAGCTGACTGGTCAGATCTCCCACATCCTGCCTGTGATGATCGCTGTGATCCTGGCCAACGCCGTGGCCCAGGCGCTCCAACCATCACTGTACGACTCCATCATCCGCATCAAGAAACTCCCTTATCTGCCTGAACTGGGCATGGGACATCACGAGTGAGTCTGCAGCGTTCACATTAGCCACCTGTTTGTTTTCAGTGAATGCTCAGGACGGAGCAGCCCCTTGTATTTATATTTTTTATTCTTTTTTTCTACTGATTCTGTGCCCTCATTTGTTTTGTATCTCCTGTCTCGCTTTTCATTTCCTTCCCTTTCTTGTTTCTGTGTCTCTTTGCTCCCCCTTCTCATCACTTCCTCCCCTCTTCCATGTTTCAGGAAGTATAATATCCGTGTGGAGGACATCATGGTCAGGGATGTGCGCTTTATCACTCTTAACTCTTGCTATCGGGACCTGCAGGAGATGCTGCTGACTGGTCATCTCAAAACACTGGCCCTGGTGGAGTCCAGCGGTGAGTGCATGGCAAAAAAAACCCCATCTTTGTAAGTCTCAGGGTTCAACTTCATAGTAGTGCAGCAGTCCTGTCAAATTTCAGGACTCAGGCTACTGGTGTTTCGATTCAAGTGTTGATATAATACCAGGGTTTCAGTATGGAAACCTGATTTTCAGGAATATGAACGTGTTTTTCTATAAATATTAAAAAAAAACAGCACAAAACAGAATTAACCACGCTGCTTGTGTGATCTTAATGTAACATCTATTGCATGTCTGTCCATCCTGGAAGAGCGATCCCTCCTCAGTTGCTCCTCCTGAGGAATCTACTGGGTTTTTTTACAGTTTTTGAGGGGGAGTTTTTCCTTATCCGCTGTGAGGGTCCAAGGACAGAGGGATGTCGTATGCTGTAAAGCCCTCTGAGGCTTTATAGATAAAATGGAATTGAATTGAACACACAGGAAGTTTAACTCTAGAAGATAATGAATTTTTGGTATTTAAGAGTTTTTGATACCTAATTCCCTGATAGACACAATTGTCAACTCGTTACACTCTGTTTTCATCTTCAGTCTGGCACTGCTCTAATTGATTCTGTTGGAAAGGGAGATTCAATTTCCCAAAACCAATCAACGCACCAGGGCATCTGCCTGAACCTAATGTGATTTTAAGTCAACCCTTATCTGCCCCACAATGCACCGAACCCTGATTCCTGTCCCTGTGGGTGGTGGACCCGCAGGGCAGCTGTGCTCAGCCCTACAGATTGGGTAAGGTGCTCAGACATCCAGAGGAAGCTCGAAGCTTACGTGTCGAAAGGGGTCAGTCGAGGTGGTTCCGACATCTGATCAGGATGCCTCCTGGGCGCCTCCTGTTACAGGTGTTTCGGGCCTTGGGGGCCCCCAGGAAGAGCTGGAAAGCATTGCTAGGGAGAGGGACGTCTGAGGTGCTTTGCTTGGCCTGCTGCCCCCGTGACCCAGCCCCGAATAAGCCTGTGAAAATAGATGGATGAATGTATCTAGCCACATCTCTATTTTGTCTATAGTGCTCACCATTGTTGTAATTACTCCTCAGTGGTTCTGGCGCACAATTTGACACCGTTTGAAAAACAGCTTAATAACGGCGTTAGTCCAGCCTTTGGTGCTGATTGGATCATTTTGTATTTTAACTGAGAAACCATTGTTTAATGTTACGATGCCAGTCAACTCAGTGGAGTGGGCAGATTCAAAGGTCTGGACGCAGCAGATACCACATCCAACAAGCAGTCAGGTTAGATATTCAGTCTTGTTCAGGACAAAGAACTTAACTGCTTCTCAGTTGAAATGATGTCACCAATTTTGATAGGATTATTTAAAGAATATTATAATTAAAGTTATTATCTGTCACTTTTATCTCATTCCCCTACTTAACAAATTTCCTGTCACCTCTGTCTGTCCTTTTCTGCCCCTCCTTCAGACTCCATGATCCTGCTGGGCTCCATAGAGCGCCTGCAGCTCCAGTCGCTGCTCGCTCTTCAGCTGGGCCACCAGCGGAGACTGGAGTACCTCCGCCAGCTGGCCCAAGACAACGGCACCCACAATCACCTGCCCAGCCTGACCACCGACAGCACGCCCAGCTCCCCCTCCTCCCACACCAACACCAACGCCTCGTCCAACACCAGCGCTCGCCAAGCGGTCCGCTTCCTGGTGAGCACCCAACAGGTGTGAGGCGTCCGGGGGCGCCAGGGCTGGGCTGGGGCCAAGTGTGGGTTGGGTTGTAGTGGTAGACTAAAAGTGGATCAGCCACAGCATGTGTGAAGCATGTAGCAGTAGGTAAAGGCACAGATGGAGTTTTTGGACAACTGTTGTGGTAAGTGTTTACTGTTAACTGTGAATGTGCTTTGATCCTACATTAACATTAACACATGTCTTCTGTGTCTCTGTCGTCTGTGCCCTTACCTGTGCTGTCCTGTTTGTTTATGTGCATGTGCTCATATTTGTTTTTTTCTGTGGCCTTGTTTGTATTTGTGTATGTGTGTTTGTGCATGCGTGCTTGTGTCTGGCTTCCTCTGTTAATATATTTTCCATGTAGATCTCCACAGAGGAGTCTTCCTCCTTCAGCCCAGTGGTTTCCAATGTTCAACTTCCTCTGAAATCTGCCTTGAAAACTGTGTCCGCCATCAGCAACACAGAGACGCCAAATAGTATGTACTTTACGTCGCTGCCAACCTGGAATACTGAGAACAAACACATTGAAATAATAATATTTCAAATCCAGATGGAATAAAAAACGATTTTTGTGTGTTCTCCCCGAGGCTCTCAGACCCTCTCCTGTGCTGACCAAGACAAAGAGCTGCTGGAGGTGAGCAAGATAGAGGGATACCATGTATGTGTGGGTGCAAGTGTACCGTATGAATGTGACATCGTATACGTGGGTGTGTGTGCTCTCTCTGAGTCCACGCGTATGCTGTCCTCCACCTCCTCCTCCTCTGCCTCCTGCTGACGGGCAGGATCCACCCACAGGCAGCAGGGTTTTCCTGTGTGATCTCATGCTGTCAAGTTTTGTTTTAAAACTTTTGTGAGTCACTACACAACACATTCACTGCCAGTCAAACGTTTTTGAACATCCTACGTGTTAGCATTTTTGGTTATATTTTAAAACACAAAGGACTGGACAGCGCTCCAGTTTGACTTTTTAATGTTGCCACAGGGATGTTTCTTACCTGAAACATCCGTTATATCTTAAGCAAGTAGTGCAGCGCCCGTTCAAAACATGCCTGTGCTAGAGTTTATGCATCATTTGCTAACAGTCATTTGGGACCAGGCTATTTCCTGGAACAAAAAACCCTTCATTCCAAAAGTTACATTGCTGATTCTTGAAATGTTTGCTACAGTGTAACATCTCCAGTCTCTCTTTTTTTATTTGTTCTTGAATGTACTATAGCGAGTGACAGAGAGGAAGCTATACCCAACTGGCAAAATTGAAGCCAACATCAAAGTACCAAAAACTGCAGTTCCTTGAATGACCACTTGAGGCTGGCTCCAGAAGCGAGTCAATCACCGCAGACACCGATGTTAAAATGCCCAACTTTACAGCAGAAATGTTCACAGCCTGGCACAAAAAACGTTTTACGTCTCGTTAGCTAATTTCTTCATTAATAACATCAACTCACCCATTTTAATCTGTCCAGATACGGTCATTTCCAGCTCCAAAAATCCAAGATGGCAACGGCAATACACCTGCCAAGTGTGAAGTTGATCAGATGAACAATTGTCAGGAAAATCAAAGGACCGACAGACAGACAGAGACTCCTCTCACTTTAGTTAGATGCATAATGGTGTTTTGTAATGTCGTAAAGACATTGTCGACGCACTGGTGGGTTATTCATTATTCAAACACACAGAACTTTATTCCAATTTTGTTGGAGATCCCAAAGTTTACAAAGTACCAGTCTGTCAGGATCAGTTTTGGGGAAATGTGTACAAACATACAGTATTTCCATTTGATGAAAAAATTGAGTCATGGGTTTAAATATTTCACTCCGTGTAAATGTCATGTAGCTCATAGTTACCAAACTCTTTCTGTAATGCCCCCTTTGTGAGCAATGAAATCCCCTCGTCCACAAATTTTGAGAAAAGTTGAAATGTTTTAAAATAAATTTAATCAAGAACATGAGCCAGGCATTTCTTTCTTTCTTTTTTGGTTGTATTAATGAACAACACTAAGGGTCTAAGGGTCTAAATGTTCATCATGCTGTTTAGCTGCTACAATGTTCACTTGTTCGCCACCTTAGTTCAGCGTGTTAGCATTCTAACATTCACTAATTAGCATCAAACACAAAGTAGAGCTGAGACTGATGGGGTTGTTTTCAGGGTATTTGGTCACGAACCAAACTGTTTGACAAATCAAGAGTTTTGACACAAGAAGAAAAGTCAAAGGATCATCAAAGTTATTACATTTCATCCTGAGGGAAACATGGATGAACAAAATAATTGTGGAGACATTTCACTGGAAACCAAAAAGCTGATTTAATAATCTGTAACAGTGTCAGTCAGGGTGGAATTATTTCGTTTTTGTCGACCTTTAAGCTCCTTAAGGGGACATTTGAGGGAAAAGAAAGTGCTGAACAAAAATGTTAAAATGTGAGGTGTTCAAATACCTTTACTCCAGCAGTGTCTCTACCATCCAGTGTTGTATTAACATTGGGTTCCATGTACAGATTTTGTGCCCTCACCTCACCTTCATTCGTGGTGTAATAATTATACCCTTTCAGCAACATTGTGCTCACATCTCAGGGACTTCTGGTAAAAGTCAGACTGGGATCCAGTGTTGCAGAGACACCATGTAAGGGTGTCAAACTGTTCGCTGATGCTGTGTTAATGTTGTGCTGTGTTGATGCCTTCTCTCCCCGACTGGAAGAGCCCGGCTGGGCCGGCTCCTCCTGAAAAAAGAAAGCCCAAGCCCAAACGAGTGAGGATCTCCATGGCGGTAAGATTGTCTGCCGCCTAGAGACTGTTGCTTAGTAACCGTTGCCTTGCGACACACACGTAGTGAGTGCTGGACCAAAATATTTATGGTGCACTAGTCAAAGCATTGGAGTGGCTTTGCAGAGAGAGCGAGAGAAAGTGTGTGTGTGTGAGAGAGAGACGGGGCAATTTCTTTGTTAAGTGGTAACGGTTTCATCATCTTTTCAACATCAGTGTTAAACCAAATGTTACATCAGCTTTCTCTCTGTTAGTGCTCGTTCTGTGTGTGGTGGTGTCATCATGTCTTTTGGAGAATTTGTTTTGTGTTTAATTTGAAGGTGCTTGACTCTTTCAGTTGGTGGTGTTATTGGTGTTGTCAGTATAGTTTTATGGGTGCTGGGTTCACAGTTTGACCTGTTAACCAAACTGTGCTCTCACCTTTACCTCTGAAACTCTCCATGTAAGTCATTGGATTACAGCTCTGTATTTCACACACTACACTGACACCAACAAACAGATCCCCCCCTCATATTGCTCCCTGTGTAATGTGTGTGTGCTGGTACACTCTACAGTGTACACAATGGTGTGAATTGTACTATATACATACTATGTATATAAGACTCAGTGTGTGTGTGTGTGTGTGTGTGTGTGTGCGTGTATGAACAGGGACAATGCATGTCTTACTCTGTTTTGTCTTTTAGGACTCAACTGAAGTGGACGATTGCATGAGCCCATCAGATGTGAGACCCACACAAACAGAAAAATAAACAAATTTAGTTTTACAACTCAGAGTTTAGAAGTTTTAGTGTCTTGTCCTGCTTCTTGTTGCAGATAGCAGAGTGGGAGGAGCAACAGCTCGATGAGCCGGTGGATTTCAAGAACTGCAAGATTGATCCCGCTCCTTTCCAGCTGGTGGAGCAAACATCTCTGCATAAGGTATCAACAGAAAGTACTACATAACATTGACCTTTCTGTCAGAGCAGCTTACTCTCTTAGTTATACGATATAAATATTTAACAATAAATGCCTAGACAACCTTTATTTTTATCATGATTTTTAATTTCTGACCATATATTTAGCAGTCACCTGATTTAGACATGTTACAAACTAGACAAATGTGATGCTTTCAAATTCAAAAATGCAAATCAAATGCAAACACCTCCCTCTGAGTCCGTATCCAGGCCATGACCCATCTCTCCTCCTTCGCAGACTCACACCATCTTCTCTCTGCTGGGTCTGGATCACGCCTATGTGACCAGCATGGGACGTCTGGTTGGAGTGGTCTCTCTCAAAGAGGTGTGCACGCGTTTCCTTCAATTGTTAAAGCTCCTGACAGAAACTTTCCTCTGTATGTCATCATTAAATCATCATTTTTCCACTTGAGAAACATAGCCAAGGTGTGACCATTTCTAAACTGATTCATGCCTTTATTTCAAACTGACTCAACTACTGTCACACACTTTTTACTCGCCTCCCAAAAAACCCCACTGAGAGACTTCAGCTCATTCAAAACTCTGCAGCTAGCTCGCTAAATACTTTAAAAACAAAGCTAAAAACGTATCTGTTCACATTAGCCTTTAACTAGCTCTGACTTTCCTGATACAGGTCTGAAACTTTTATGCCTTTACTTTCTATTTACGCTTCACGCTGCTAAAGCTCTTTTAAAATCTTACTTGATTTTATGATTTATAGTTTGTTCTGCATTTCTTGTATGAAAGGTGCTATATAAATACAGTTTATAATTATTATTAATATTATTATTGAAGTGTGGTTGTGTGAGGTACCTATTCATAGTCAGTGTACCTACAGTAGATGTCCGCATGCCCCCAGTTTGGAGAAGCATACAGCAGTACCAACATGGAGGCTGAGTAATGCACTGCTGATGTGGACAAGGGCAGCAGTAAAACATATTTTAGCCTCCTAAAAAAAGGCCAACCTGAAAAAAATATATACACGTTAAGTATAAGTTATATTTGGGGTATTTTTACTGCTTTACCTTGCTGCAGTCCATTTAGACGGGGAACTGAGGCTATGAGCTATGCTCTCCTCAAAGCCAGACTCCATTGAGAAAAACAGTAATTTAACATCACAGAACACAGGAGCTGCTGGTCTAACGTTGTCTAAAACAGTTAGTTAGTTTGTGTTATTGTGTGACTTTGGTGTTTAAAAGGGGTTAGTTCAGATTCACTTAAGTCACACAACCACAAAATCAGATGAACTTATCAAGGCAGCAGTGGACCAGCAGCTTCCATGTTCAGCGAGCTAAAATTACTGTTTTTGTCAATGGAGTCTGGTGGCTTAGACAAGAGCATAGATGGGGAGTGAAGCCGCCAATGCCCTCCCTGTCAGAGAGGGCTAGCAGCATCAAGATAAAGTGCTGAAAATATTTTTAACATTGTGTACACTTAAACTGATTTTTTTGCCACTTGACATCTGCTGTAGGTTATACGCACACTATGGATAAGTACCTCATACAACCCTACTTCAAAAGATCTGAACTTTGTTTTTAATGCTCACCATCTATCATCCTTTTCTGCTATCTTTCCCTTTTTGTTTTTTTTTTTTGTTGTTGTTTTTTGAACTGTTTTCGTTCTTTTCCCCCGGCTGCCTGGGGCTCTGTGTCTCCAGCTGCGTAAGGCCATCGAGGGCTCAGTGACAGTGACTGGAGTAAAAGTGCGCCCTCCATTGGCCAGTTTCCGTGACAGTGGGAACACTGCAACTGTGTCCGAGGTAACAGAACTACACAAGCTGTGCATCCGCCACAGGGGGCTCTCGTTGCCACGGGAACCCAACCACCCTCCTAATGTGGAGGGACAGCCAGATCTCCCGTACAAAGAGATCCCCGTCAACTTCTCGGACCAAACGAATTTGCAGTTTGAAACCGGCCCCGGTGACGCCTCGAGTCAGTCGTCGGAGTTGGTGCTCCAGGAGAGCCCCTCGTTCACCGAGGACCAATCAGAGTTTACTTTTGACTGCAGCCCCTCCCACACTGAGGAGTCAGAGCTGGCCTGTGACTATGACCCCCTCACCTACACTCCTGAGCCGGACGTCACAGAGCAAGAGCTGGGGAGTTCAGCTCTGAACAAGGACCAGTCAGAACCTGTGGGAGAGGGTGGCCCCACCCACACTGAGGATCGATCAGAATGATCAGAGGGGATCCATGCTGTCGCCTCATGAATGTTGACGTTTCTTACATGTGTAGAGGTCACTCTCACCTCCAAGTCCAGCCTAGATACCTGTGTTTCTAACGTTGTTGTGGCGTGAGTGGACGAGTGAAGGAGAGCATGTGTGAATTCTTTTTTTTTTTTTTTTT